CCCAGGGCTGCTCTCCAGTGAAAATGCGGGGAGCCACAGCGCCATTGCCCGAAAAGCAGTCCCGAGCCTGAAGGTTCTCCTGGTGGGGAGGAAGACACAGTTTTCCCCTCCCAGGAAGACAGTAAAGTGCTCTGGCTTTGAGTAGCCCAGCTCCGAGAGGAACTGGCCTAGCTCTGTTGTCTCTCTCATCTAGGACATGACTCTCTATTGATGGTCTTTGTTTTTTATTTTGGATTAAAAAATCTCCAGACTTTATTAAATGACACCTCTCTACTTGTTTGGGCAAGGTTTAACAAGAACAACCTCCCCTACGTGGCATGGGTTGTAACTATGGAGGTTTCCTTTTCCTGTTTTCTGGTTACAAGATGAAAGTTATCTCAACACACACAAAAAAAATGTATATTTGGCATCCACTATGGATAGTCAGGTTAGTAATTCGATAGTTTAGTAATTTAAAATTAGCTGGTTGTCATCACCATAATTCTTTCTTTTTTTAACACTTTCAAAGTCAACATAGAGTAAGGGTATTATTGAGTATTACAGAATATTCAGGGCATAGATGTGCTATGTAGTCTGAGTTATTAATGTCTCTCAGCAATCTCAAAGTAATGAAATTCTAATGTAAACCCGCTGCCTTCAATTATAGAACTCTATCTTCACTGACTTGATTATAACATACAGGACTCATTGTTTTCCACTAAAAAAATGGCAGTATTAGGAAACTTAGCCCATTTGCTTTTCATGTACATTTTGCTATTTGCATACTTGTCTGGCTGGAGTCTATCTGTAATATTACAGTAAAAGCACAAGTCCCATGTAGTTGGTCTGATTCTTCCTCACTTTTTGGCTCTTGGCCTCCGGGGCAAGGCGTGCACACCCCCAGGAACAGTGGTGCCAGATGCCTATGGCGGAAGAGGCCTCTCCACGTTAGGGGCAACTTAGTGTGTGCTTGGCGTGGAGCTAGACTCCCCGTGTCTTTCCATGTGACACTCCCAGCCTACGTGTGTACTGGCTTTCTCTTGATTTTCTCTGACTTCATGGCTTATCTATGAAAAGCTTGATTTAGGAAAAAATGTGTTTCACCAAACCAGATTTATAATTTAATATGCTGCAGTGAGAACTGAAAAAAAAAAAGTGTTCAGAAAAAGGGGCTTTTCCTGTCATGTCTCGTTGGGCACCAGGGTATCTCCACCTGTTTGTTGTGTTGGGGCGGGGAGTGGTTCCTAAATGAAGAAAATGTGATGGAAGGTGCTGTGGACGGTGCTTAGCAAAGAGCAAGTGCTCAAAAGCAGCAGCGTTTCTGGTATTAGTGGTTCTGGAAGTAGGTGATTGCCTTGCATTTTAAATAGAGAGGGATTGTACAAGACTGCTGATACTTATGAATTTTTCCAGGAAAAAAAGAGTCAGAAACTCCATCTGCACAGCTCCTTGTTCTCCAGAAACACCACCGTGCGTGGGATGACGTCGTATGGAAATCCCGTCCCTCCTACTCAGCCTGCCCCTGCCCCACTCTCAGTGATTCTGTCTTCAGAATTCCTATCACGCCCATGATCTGCAAATAGTCTGTGGCACTGAATCTGTGTAAATGTTAGCTTCCATTTGTTCATTCATATTTTTTCAACGGATACATTATTTATTGAGCACCTACCACCTGTCAGCCCCTTGGGCATTTAGTCTTGAATCAGACACACACGGGACCTGCCTGCCCTCAGGGAGCGAGATTATAAATTCCTGATAATCAGTGGTCGTCCACTTTTCTGTCACTCAGAGCATCTGGCACAAAATAGGTCGCTCTGGTTCTCCTCACAGGACTGTTGTTTGCTGCTGTGTTGCCTTAGAAAGCGCGAGGGCTCTAGGGAGACAGACGGCCGTCTGCGGCTCTGCCGCGGTCAGCAGTGGGGACCGTCCTGAGTGATACCCGGGCAGGAGGTCTGCGGGGGCTCCCAGCTCAACGGCACTCTGTCCACTGAGAAAACGTGATCTCATCAGTTAAACTCACTGGTGTGCTAACTGTTTATATATATATATTTAAAAAGTAAACCTCTGAAGTATTGGGCCTTTTGTATTTCATTAAAGAAGCAGTAATTGTTTTTAATGAGCTCTTGAAACAATTGCTTTTTAAGAGCAACGTATCAAATTCTTGCCTCACTTTTTGCCACAATGTATTCTGAAGGTGGAATTGACACTTTTTTGAAGCGTCTCGAATAGCGAGTTTTGTCGGGATTCACCTCCTACCAGCAGATCCAATCTGCTGGTTGATGTTCGAGACTTCCTCCCTGCGCCGCCATTCCGATAGCCGCCCCGTGGGTTGCCATCCTCCCCCGGCTCTGACCAGTGCACCAGTCGAACAAAGTGAGGCTGCATACTCTGAATGGCAGCTTTACATCAAGGAAGGCCTGGCTAGTGTGTGAAATGAGTTTGGAAGACTCGCTCAATTACGTTTGTGATTTGTGTCTTCTGAAAACATGGTCTAAATCGCAGAGATCCCCGAAGCCACACCTGCCCATGTCCTGTGTTCTTGACCTCACGGCACCAGCTGGTACAGTGACTCGGATTCTGTGAGCGATGGGAGAGTCATGAGGAGTCGCTTGCATTGCAAAGGAGGAAACCTCCCGTGGGTCTTTAGTTAAACAGGGAAAAAAACAAACCCTCATGAAGGAAACGGGATCTTGGGAGCATTTTGAATGAAGAAAGAGCTTAATGAGGCAAACTTTGGACGTAGGGTGTGATGTGGGGGAGTTCTAAGATATGCAGAGACGTATGGCTTGGCTTGGGAGAGGTGCGATGCATTTTCTTAAAAGAACTAAATGAATGGACAAAGAAACAGTACCTCTGGCTTGGTGAGGATCCTGAGCTCTGAGGCCTGGGAAGCCCCCAGGGTTTGTTCTTTCAGAAAAACTTCTGCTAAAGGTAGCTGACACCTCTATGGTGTTGCTCTATGCCAGCTACAAAAGGAACAGATTTGGGATAGAAAATGTTTGGAGTGGGATGAGAAACACCAGGCAGAAATTGGCCCCTGGTTTTTGTATACCTTAAAGAATTCCTTAAACGGTCAAGAAATAAGACATAAAAAGGGGAAGTATCAGGAAGATGGACAATTTAATGGTCACCAAATGTAGTTAGTACCTACTGCCAGGCATCTCGCCACTGTTTTTTAACCACAGCAACACATCAGAATCACTGTGGGGAGATGCGGAGGTGAAGAAATTAACCTCATCCACAAACATTTTGGGTCAGTGTATTCCTGGAGAAACGGAGTGGTGATTTAGCCACAAAGAAGATGAAATTGTCTAGGGAGAATGAATACATTGGCATTCAGGAGGTTGAGTGAATACCTTGGGGAAGCCGTTCCTTCTCCTGGAGTTGAATTTTAGAAGTATCACTCCAGAAAACTGTAGAAATGGGCAAAAAGGTCACAGAGAGGCTCTCACTAAGCAAGCGTGATCTACATTTGTCAAAAGTTCTAGGCAATTCTTCAGCAGTGCACACATGGTTGTTTTAAATTTATCTTTGTTATAAAAAAAATCATTTTAAGTTCTGCTTCACAGAAGGATTTTATGTTAAATTATTCTCGTTCACTTTTTTTTTTTTGAATGAATGTCATATGCCTTTGTTAAAGGAGCTCAGTTTAAAAAAAAAAAAGGACCACCCTCTCAATTTGGGGTTGTACAATAACACATTGCCAAGAAAGAAAGAGAAACAAGCCACCGTGTACAACATGCATTTTTCCTGCCATAAAGAGTATTGGTTTTTAATATGAATCTGTAATATTATTTCTGTTATGGGTAGTGCTGTTTCATAACCACTCTCATGCACATTTCAGAAAATGAATACCACTCATCAGCATAAATCGTAAGCCATTACCTCAGGACGGATTTGAAAATGGGGGTACCCCGGCCTCACTTCTTCTCCAGTAGTGAATTATGACCCTCTAGTCGCCATGGCTGGTGCATCTCTGGTCAAAGAAAGGGTTGGAATGGGAGGAACTAGAGGCAATGCTTTGTTCTCAGGCTTTAATATTTTAATGAGCCTGCAGGCTTGGCTGCTTTGGAAGGAGCTGGGATTTCTAAGTGTGTTGTTAGTGTTAGCACTTGTAGAAGGATGTTCATTAGGAAGCTCTTGTTTCATTTTTTCAGAGAAACTCCCCATTAAGAAAGATCTTTCAGCAGCATGGCCAGCAAGACAGAGAAGGAGGAGGAGGGAAGCTTTTAGCTGTGAGCACTAAGGGGATATTGTATCAGTAGTCTTAGTTCTAAAGATTTGCTTCTAAGAATTAATTGGAGCAAATACATCTCAAGGGAAGGAAAAGAAAAGATTTGTAGAGCAAGGACGGTGGTTGTTGTCCTTGCAAGTAGAGGACTCTTCATTTTGCAGCTGAATCAATACTACAACTAATTATTTCTGGTTATCTTTTATGGGTTTGTAAGACATTTCTTTTGTTCGGTGTAATAAAAAACCCATTGTTTGATCAGTGACTGACTAATTATGATAAGTAATTTGAAACATTCTTGATGAAACTTGTCTGTTAATTAGCATCAACAGCAAATGGAAACTAACAGGACAACAAAGTATTAGTGGATTCACTGTTCCCTGGAATCGATGAGATCTTTCTGTGGCATGCCCAATAAACTAAAGCTGCCAATGGTTAAAAAATAACAAACATGTGGGAAGCTCTGACTCACCCTGGAGGAAAAGTTGTTGTAAAGGTACACAAAGGAGTACTGAAATATTACAAGTGAAGGGGTGGTAAAGAAATGTCAGCAGGTTGCCTGATCCTGTGGTCTAGAGTAAGGAGGATTCTTTCTTTCTTTTTTCTTTTAAAGCTTAATTCCAAAATATATTCATCCTGTGTTGATCTGAACTAAGAAGCTTTTGATAAATAATGGTGTGGATCTGAAAAATTTAAGTTTGGGATTATTGGCATTGTCTGGCTATATTGTAATTATGATATACTATTAACTTTTATCAACTCAATGGCTTTTTTTTTTTTATACTTTTAGATTTCTACCTGGACAAGGCCTGGTACTATACCCACAGATAGGAGACAAATTGGATATTATTTGCCCCAAAGTGGACTCTAAAACTGTTGGCCAGTATGAATATTATAAAGTTTATATGGTTGATAAAGACCAAGCAGACAGATGCACTATTAAGAAGGAAAATACCCCTCTTCTCAACTGTGCCAGACCAGACCAAGATGTAAAATTCACTATCAAGTTTCAAGAATTCAGCCCTAACCTCTGGGGTCTAGAATTTCAGAAGAACAAAGATTATTACATTATATGTAAGTATAATTCTATTCATTTATTTTATAGAAATTAGGATAAGCTAAATAGGTTTGTATCGATTTTTGTTTCCTTAAAGTTATTGTGATAAATAACTTGGTGAGAATCTTTGCTGAACAATTGTCCACTATTTTTCAAAGCAACTCTAATTGAATTTGGGACCCTGTGCTAGCAGTATTCATTAAATATAAATACTCAAAAAGAAAAGAGAAACTCCTAGAATTCTTCTAACATTAAAATAAATGTATTATATGAATATATTCAGCATCTCTACTGACAAAACCATTTTTAAGGACCATTGGTGAGATTTTTGATAGGTAAATCTTGTGCAATGCCTTTTCTTTTCATCCATTCATCCATTCATCCATTCATTCACTCATTCACTCATCGTTTAGTATTTATTCTGCATCAGAGACTGTGCTTAAGTGCTTAGGGACTCAACAGGAAGCAAGGTGGTATAATAAATAGTACACTTTCCTCATGAAATTATCATTCCAGAGAAGATGGAGGTCATAAACTGGAAGGATGGGTCTTACAGGCAAAGCACAATGGTTACCTTAAACCAGATTTAGAAAAATAAGCCAAAACTTGGTTTGCTCAATGAATTACTCTTGTTTTTCCCCTATATATATGTAAAAAATAATTTGACACATTGTTTTAGGAATGGATTATATGTATCCTTTGGATCATATCTCAAGTAGCTCCTGAGGCTATATGAAGTCCACTGAGGGCACACCTTGAGCACCTGCCTACTGTGTGCAAATCAACTATGGGCACAAGGCCAGGGTCATTCCCAGGCCCCAAGTTTTGTCAGAGTAAGGTCTGGGTGACTCAGACAGCTCTTCATATCATTCAAGCAATGAAATATTTTTTCTTAGTTTCTTTGCTTTAAAGTAATACTCATAACCAGGTTGAATTCTCCATTCCTGCTTCGCCTAGACTTGAGTTCCTTAGGGAACTGCTGTCTGTGGTTGGGCTCCCCTACCTCTTGGTGACTGGATTGGAACTCCAGCTTCTCAACCTCTGAGCTGCACTTTAAAGCACAGTATTTGCTGAATACTTATCGAGTGCTCAATAATATGTTCTTTTTACGACATTAATAATTAAAACAAAGGTGGTCATAGACACCTAATTATCTCAGTGTCTATTGCTGTGAACCTGATATGCCACAGAGCCTGAAAACCTACTTTTAAAGCCAACTTGCTACTTAGAGTAGCTTACCAAGAATAAGTAGCAAAGAAAAAGAGAAAGTGGTAAATTATATAGTTAAAGGAATAATTATCAAAAAATGAAAATAAAAGCATGCTGAGACGAAAAAAGGTAGATGGGGCGGTGAAGTGTACAGAATAACAGGAAAGCCTTTGAAAATATAAAATAGTTACTAAGTAAAATACATGGAAACTTTAAGGTTTTGGAAGCCTAATGGCATTTCTTTTTAAAAAGACTTTTAAAGTAAGATTTTTTCAGTGGGTGCCGATGTTTAGTGTGACATTTGTAGGGAACTGAAACTGATCAGATGACTTCATTAAGAAGGTTAATGCCCCTGGGTTGGGTGGGAGAAAGAAGGTGGATGTGCTGGTAGAGTGGACACTCTAGAGATTAGATGTTCCTATGGTGGCAAATGCATGTCTCTAAAACTGTGGCTGCAACCCAAGTGCACGGATAAGCCAACAGCTCCAGGTTCTGTCCCCTTCCTTTAGTTCATGACTTCATAAAGACTGCTTTGCAAATTCTAAGTTCCCACTGAGTGCAAGTGGGATTTTAGTAAACATCAAGGGTTTAACTTTTAAATTAATATGCAACAAATGCAAATAAATAAATGGTTTAGCAACATTTCTTTGCTTAAAGCAGTGAGTTATTTAATAATTACTTTATTTGCTACAAGAGAGGATTTATATTTACAAGCACAATTTAATTTATATTTATAATTTTAATTGACACAATAATGGCATCTTATTTTTCTTGTTTTGAAAATTCTTCATACCACATTAACAGGTTCATTGAAGTTAGCTGAACTACTCTGATCTCCAGAACTCTCCTTAGAGCTATGATTTACAGTGCAAAAGCATGTGGTAGCCTGGGATAAAAGAATCTTTCTTAAAATCGAGTTGAGGATTTCAAGTTTGAAACAATGGGGGCTATTTGAATGTTGCTGGTTGAGAGACTGTCCCAGGACTGGGTAAAGGACTCAAAGCTCAGAAGTTTGCCGGAAGTCCAGGGAGACTTTCAGCAGAGTTGAAAGACTTCACCACATCATAGGCATAAGAAGGTATTTCAGATACTTGGAAAAATGCAGAAGCCAATTTCTCACTCACCCTACAGCAAAGCTCATTGATATGCAAGTTTCCCTTGAAAAGAAATGGGAAATACAAAGAACAAATTTTAAAATAGTTTTAAAAATTAATATTGGCTTTCCTTCTTCAAGAATTTCAAGGTGCCAAAACAATTAAGAGATTTTTAAAAAGTCACTGCTTTCCATATCAAACAAATACACACACACAGAGTCACGCTCTATTACTGTCTTTTTTGAGAAGAAGGAAAATGTTTGAAGGTAGTAATTTTTATATCAGTACATTCATAGAATAGTGTTAGATAGCATGATGGAAAGTACTCAAATTTATAAGTATATTTTTAACACTTGAAGTCATTGAATCACTTTGATACAGTAAATAATATTGGTATTTGAGTTGCTGCATTATATATTCCATGTGATTAACTCCAAAGCTTAGTGTCTAGTTTGTAAGCACCTTCACAACTGGCAGTGTTATTAATATCATTATTATCGTGTTCTGGTTTCTTTCCCATAGGAACGAAAAATAGAGATTTGATACTTTGGAGTAGTGATTTATTTACCTTGGTGGGGAGCAGTCCAAATGGGCTGATTTGATGTAGGGTAGCACCCTAAAGGAACAGCATTTCAGAAGAATTAGGCCAGGAGTCTCCAGTCCTAGGTTCTGGTCCTAATGCCTGAGCTCAATGAGAAAGTTACTTGAGTTCTTTTCTTTAATTTGATTCTCTAGAAAATTCGTTTAGTATTGTTGTTCTGACAAATGATGGAGGTCTTCTCCAGTCCCAAGCCAGTTTGTGGTTGAACATACAAAGCCAACATAGGATCACTCGTTAGTGTGGTTCTTCTCCAATGAAATGGACAGGATCTGCTGTAAATTCTTTAAAAGAATTTAATTTGATTTGTCATGTTACTTGATTTAAAATGCAGTCATCACAGTTTTGAGTTTTAAATGTAAATATTAATTTTTAATTGGAACTTTATTTTTAAACTTACTGAGTATCCACTAAATTCCCTTAGGAAATGATCTGGCAAAATAATATGCATCACCATTTATTTTTCTCATAGATAATTATTTGCTTTTGACCTGTGGCAAAATGCTACACAAATGATCCCCATTTACCATGGTTCAACTTACTATTTTTGGTTTTTTGATGGGTTTATCAGGGTATCAAATGCATTTTTTTTTTTTTTTGAGACAGAGTCTCGCTTTGTTGCCCAGGCTAGAGTGAGTGCCATGGCATCAGCCTAGCTCACAGCAACCTCAAACTCCAGGGTTCAAGCTATCCTCCTGCCTCAGCCTCCTGAGTAGCTGGGACTACAGGCACGTGCCACCATGCCCAGCTAATTTTTTCTATATATATTAGTTGGCCAATTAATTTCTTTCTATTTAGAGTAGAGATGGGGTCTCGCTCTTGCTCAGGCTGGTTTTGAACTCCTGACCTCGAGCAATCCACCCACCTTGGCTTCACAGAGTGCTAGAATTACAGGCATGAGCCACTGAGCCTGGCCTCAAATGCATTTTAAATGAAATGATATTTTCAACTTAGCATGAGTTTATTGGGACATAGTCCCATCTAAGTTGAGGAGCAACCATACATGGGTTTCCTTGTTTGGAATTGACTTTTTCAAGTGACCTATTTTATTAGCCTTGGGCCTAATTTGCATAATACAATCTCCTGATCCAAGGATGGGGCTATTATGACTATTTGGTCAGAAGAGCCCCCTGTTCTTTCTTATGTCAGATCCTTAATTGCCTTGAAAACATAGCAAGTATTTTAAATAACCTATGTATTTTCATTAGGTCTTAAAAATTTTTAAATGTTTATGAAATAACTATCTGTTCTGATATTGCCCATTTTCAAGGGAAGCTATGTCTTGGACATAGTAAACATTTAAATTAATATTGGGAAGGCATTCCTGTGTTCCCAGTCTTTATCTCGCAAAGTTTCCTCTGAGGCACTTTCTGTGCTTGGTTTACAATCCCTTTTTAGAGGTGACATCCCAGAGCTGAATGAGTCAGCAAGTTTGATGTGTTGGCTCTTTGCAACAGCTGTCCTTGTGAAGGTTCTGTGGGTTGGTTATCCAACCTTACCATAAAACCTTGCAAAATGTTAATACCTACAAGGAGATTTTCATCACGCTACCAAAATTATGTGAGTCAGAGATGGACGAGAAATGAATGCCATTGTGTTAACACATTTTAAGTGAACAGTAGCCATAGCAGAGCTGTTAGACAAAGGAAACTATGTTACCGGAGCACCTCCCAATTTAAATTGTGTGGCTTTTGCGTTATTTTGCTGCAAAGTCATAGCTAAGGCATGATCTTGTGACATAGTCTACAAGTCATCATTTCTGAAGATTGTTTCATTAAAGATTGTTCTATAATATATACCCTGTGGTGGTGCTCCCAGTTGTCCCTAGAGTCGTCCTTCACTTTCCATGCCCTGGCAAAGTCGTCGTTGAGCAACACTGAATGAGTCTGGAGGAGTTATCATTTCTTAGGCTCTCCTCACTGGTTTAGTTGTCTAAAGCATTTTTTTTTAAAATAAGAGCCTGTAAAATTGGAATGCTCCATAAACAGCTTTGCTATTTTCTTTAGGCATGTACTCCACTTCTAAGCAAAATCACAAAATATAGTAAAATGCTTGCACAAATATAATGATACAGTATTCTTAAAGAATCAAAACAAAACTGTATTGTAGATTCTAC